GGGGGGGCAAAGAAAAGTTTAACAAAATTATGGCCATGTGACAGTGACACGAAAGGAGGAAAAACAAGACAGCTGTAATTCGAGACTATAAGCGACGCCAGTGGTTTGCAAATTCATGGCAAATTTGGTGAAATATTGGTACATTATATTTGAGAATAAATGAATCGAGAAGTATGGTGGAATTGGTGGGTCGAACCTTTGATAAGAGGTTTTATGAAAGTTAAAAATATGTTAATAGGGAGCATTTTATCCCTTTAATCAGCCAACCTAATGCGAATTAAGATGATGTGAGCCTAAAAAAATTTAAATACCAGATAGCTAAATCGCAAAACAAAGTTACTAAATTGTGAGGGGCCAAGGGCGGAGGCAGAACCCAGTAGCTTTTGCTGAAATAGTGTATTTTATATTAAAGTTATAAAACATGTATAATAATAATAAATTTAGAACCTAGTCATTAGCACTTGAAATCCTTGTTCTAAAATTCATAACCCATAAGGATGAAATCCTGGCTCCGCCAATATGAGGGGCCTTAACAATATGAGTGGATTATATACAGTTTCCTAGTAGTGATTGCGGTAAAACAGTAATTAACAATTTCATGCAAAGCAGAAGAAGAAAAAGAAGGAAAAGTGTCACATAAATGTTGGATGGTCCATTCTGGGTTAGATTGTTGGTAATCTGTGTTCGAAACTAAAAAATCAGAGGAAAAAGAAACGTTAGTTCAATAAATAAATCGTAAAAAAAAAAAATTTCGAGCCTACAAGTTGCTTGCGTGTCCTTAAGGAATTTAATCCTCTCACTGTTGCCCAAGGTTATGGATTACTTCCTCCCAGGATAGAACGGAAAAACTATACTGTAATACTGGCAACCGAAATTACAGAACTGCAGCGAACTCAACAAATGGAGCAAATCACACTTGACACTTTATTTATTTGAAAAACAATGCAACAATGTTGAAAAAGAGGGAGAAATTTTTAGATTTTCCATGTTTTTAAAAATGAGGCAAAGCCTCTAAATTTATAGACAATGAAAGGGTGAGATGAAGAGGTACAATTCAAAAGGTGCCTCTTCCATTTCCCATTCACGAAACCTAACAATCTCCCACATGAATGGGGAATGGAAGTATGTTTAAAACATGCAAAAACTTGTGTGATTCGCAAGTAAGGATTAATTGCATCTGGATAAGTAGGTTTCCCTTTGAACTTTCCATAGTGAACATATGTCGGATATACTTGATCAATCGGTAGATTTGATATCTTTGAACCGTTGAACTTTAGTGTATACCTAGACAACCATAAGTCACGCAATCAATTCTTAACTATCTTTAGTTCTCATTGTTGTGTTCGTTTCAGCTATGAACACCACCTTGGTCATAAGTGCGTAGAGAACTGGCCTTACAGAATTCTTCTTGAAGCGGCTTATACTTCACATTTACATAGTTGATTCCTAAACGTGTTATCCCGTAGATACATTATTTGATATACCCCGTATCAAACTTAAAAACCATTAAAAAGCCTTAACGCTTTATCCTTAGTACTGAACATTGTCTCATCACGAGAATGGACCAAAAAAAAATTTTATTTGACAATGTTGAACCGCCATTAATGACTTTGTTTGAGCTCCTTGAACCTAGATCTTGGGATCTCCAGTATTCTAGGTGGAGTTACCACCACAATGACCTGTTCTCGGCCATAGTCTCATTCCCCTCGATGATCTTTCAACTACCTCTCTAGTTAGGCCTTTTGTAAATGGATCAAACACAATATCGCTTGACTTCACATAGTCAATTATGATAACTCCCCTAGAGAGTAGTTGCCTAACGATTTTATGTCTTCGTAGTATATGACAAGATTTGTTGTTATAATGCTCTCAGCTCTTCCTATTGCTGCTTGAACGTCGCAATGTATGTATATAGGTGCCAATATTTTGGGCTAATATTGAATTTCTTGAAGAAATTCCGGAGCCATTCATCTTCTTCACCGGCCTTGTCTAAGGCTATAAACTCAACCTCCATTTTAGAGCGGCAATGCATGTTTGTTTGGACGATTTTCAAGACACTGCTCCTCCACTGATTGTAAAAATATATCCACTGCTGGATTTAGTTTAGGTTGATCCGATGATCCAATTTGCATCACTATACTCCTCAATAACCGTAGGATACTTATTATAGTGCAATGCATAGTCATGGATATATTTCAAATATCCCAAAATTCATTTTATTGTCATGACAGTTCAATGCGAACTTCCTTATGTCGTAGACTAATACATCTCAACTTTCTATTGATTATTAACTACACTTAATGTAGCAATAATATATTATAACAACAGTTGAATGATTGACATCAGTTGTGGCCACAACCTTAACCTTTTAATATACAACATATTTCGCAATCACTCCGCCATTTTTAATCATTTGTATGCTATTTATTCATACATTTATATGATATGCAAATTATAGTACCTTAATTCATGATATAAATCCAACATGAAATGGATTTTGGTCATGTTCATCAGTTGGCTCACCTCATTATAGACCAACTTATTAATACATTCGCTCGTGAACGGTCATGTTTATACAAAGCATACAAATGCGCTTTTCATGAAAAGTCACAACCTTCCACGTGACACCCTTTCATAAAAGAGCTAAACATTATAAATGTTCAAGAAAGAACAAATCATTTCTGGAAAGGCACGTAAACAACTTTCGAATTTGTAGTTTCATCACTAGTCATCACTAAGACTGAACAAGTAATGAATTCACCGACTACCATATCAATATCCCTAAGGATTCGTGGGTTCGAAGAATCATATCATCTAGTCTTTCTAGATAATATATACATCATGTCTAACATTAGATTTTGTTATGCATAACATAAATGCCCCCACATTTCACATGTTTTATCTGCCTTTCCTATCAGCATATAATCCATATATATAAACAAACAATGACTACATAATTTAGAGTATTCTTAATGTAAATACACTAGTTTGAAATCATTTGACAATATTTTCTAGTCAAATTTTGCATGCCATTGTTTGGGTATTTGTTTTAGTTCGTAAAGATACTTAATAAGTCGACACAACTTCTTTCTTTTCCAGGAATCACGAACCCTTCAGGTTGTTCCATATAAATTTCTTCCTCCAAAGCTCCATTTAAGAAGGCTGTCTTTACGTCCATATGATGGATTTCAAGGCCATACACGGTGGCTAACGCTATTACCATTCGAATAGATGTAATTCTCGTTACCGGTGAGTATGTGTCAAAGTAATCAAGACCTTCTCGTTATCTTAATCCTTTGGCAATTAATCATGCCTTATATTTGTCAATAGTACCATCAGCTTTCATTTTCCTTCTGAAAATCCACTTAGAACCCAATGGTTTATTTCCTGGAGGAAGATCAACCAATTCCCAAATATGATTACTTAATATGGGTTCTATCTCACTATTGACTACCTCTTTCTAACATTGTGCTTTCGAGCAAGACATTGCTTCTTTAAATATTTGAGGCTCACTTTCCAACAAGAATGCCAGAAAATCTGGTCCAAAAGAAGTAGTTGTCCTTTGACATTTACTACGTCTTGGATTCACCTCATGAGATGTACTTTCTTTTGCTTCTTCCTGAGGTCGCTTGGATATTTCACTAGACGACTTATATTCTTTTTTTATACGGATAAATATTCTCAAAGAATTCAGCATTATCTGACTCGATTACTGTATTAATATGAATGTGGGGATTTTCTGATTTATGAACCAGAAAATGATATGCCTTACTATTTGTTGCATATCCTATGAAAACACATCAATAATTTTCGGTCTGATCTTTACCTTTTTAGGTTTAGGAACTTGTACTTTAGCTAAGCACCCCCACACTTTAAAATATTTATGTTGGGCTTCCTTCAATTTCATTTTTCATATGAAATGGATTGCGTCTTGCTATGGGGAACTCGACTATTAGTTGTAAGAATAACTCCCCCCCCCCCCCACCCACACACACACAAGTTCTTGGGTAAATCGGAACTTATCAACAAGGCATTCATCATCTCCTTTAATGTTCTATTCTTTCTTTCTGCAAGTCCATTAGATTACTGAGACTAAGGGGATGTCGTTTGATGAATAATATCATATTCCAAACATATTTCTTCAAAAGGAGATTCACATTCACCACTCCCATTAGTTTTGTATAGGCAACCACATGATCTGTTTGTTTGTGCCATGATAGAGCCAGAATTAATAATGGTGAACTTTTAAATCTTCAAATCAATCTGAAACAACCAAAATTTAATGGTGGAGTTTTTAATCTTCAAACCAATCTGATACAACCAAAATTTAACAGTGAAGTTTTTAATCTTCAAATCGAGTAATATCTAACACACCCAGATCTAATATACGATTCCGAATAATATGTTGGAGTAGAAATTACTATGATTTGAATCTCCAAAACAAGTAGAAAGTCACTTAGACTTTAATCTCCGACAAATGAGTAGAAAGTCAAGCAAACTTTAATCTCAATGAACGAGAAGAAAATCACGTCGATTTTAATCTTGACGCAGGAGTAGAAAATCATGAAGATTTTAGTCTCCATAACGAGAGTATAAAATCACGAGTATTTTTATTTTTCTTTTCAAATGGCTTTTCAGCTAAACAATTTAATCCCTCTAATTAATCTCTTATACTCTAATTAATCAAGCCTTAATGTAAGCCCAGTTCACATCTTACCATCTTGAAAATGATCTTTCACTCAATTTTATGCGTATTATCACATTGTATACCAACAAATCGACTTCAGGCATGCAAATAGAGTATACTTTGAGATCATCACATAATAAGTATCTACCGTAACATTTATAGAA